GTGAAAGAAGGACACAAAAACACAGGAGAAACTCCCCTGCTTGCCTAAAATGTTCCAAAGACCCAACAACACTGGGTCCGATGCCTGTTGCTCTGTAACACCGCAGGGCTGCAGTTTCTCCTGACTCAGAAGTGCCCGTAGCACCCAGCATGTTCTGCACTAAGGAGCACACAGAGGCTGTGTCCCCAGACTCACGCGAGGATCCAGACCCCTGGCACCGGCTGTTTCTGCCTGTGGGCACTACGTGGGGCCAGTGCCCCGGGCAGCCCAATGTGACCCTGGCACTGCTGCGGCCCCTCCCCAAGCCCCCCAGTGTTTTCCGATGCCCAAGGGGCAGCTGCCCTGGTGGCTGTTGAATAAATGGTGGGACTCTGTTCGGTTACCTCCCCTGACCCAAGCACCCGAGTTTGCAGGCTTGCAGAGCTGTTTCTGCTAGGAAGATGGATTGGGCACTCGTCTCACAGGCAGCACTGTTTATTTTCAGCGGCTGAGCAGAGCCTGGCTTCCCTGAGCACGCACGGAGCGGGCAGGAGCCCCCCTTGCTCCGGCTACTTCTCTGCCAGGCTCAGCCCCCAGCCCCACTTGCTGCCCTTCGGAGCTGTGACTGCCCAGGTGCCCAGCCCGGGGTTTGCTCACGCCTGGGGCTTGCAGCCGGCAGAGCCTCCCTGCCACCAGGCTCAGCTCCTGACCTCCTTCAGGCATTTTTGGGTGTTGTCTCCTGTGGTTTCAGCTCTCCAGCTCCAAAAAAAGCCTGGCATACCTTGCACTAATGCTGGCATAGGCTCTGAGGGTCAGCAGCCTCAGCTGAAGCTCTGCCTGTCCTCGGAGGTCCAGAGGGGACGTGTGGTTTGTGACAGCTGGTTTGTGTCCACTGCCCCCTCGCTGGTGCAGTGCTTTCCGAGGAGACTTTCCCCTGCTGCTCCGGTAAGTATTGGGTGAGTTCCCGCTGCGATAAGTGAAACTTCAGCAGGAACGATGGACCCTCTGTGAAGGAGTGTGAGGTTTTTCAGTTGTGCTGTGCCAAGTGACCCTGAAGAGGTGGTTTTTAAATGCTCCCTCCTCTGCCAAAGCTGCTGTGGGACCTTTGAGCAGCCTGGCCCAGCAGGCTCCAGGTGCTGTTCCTCTTCTCTTCATTGTGCCCTCTCCAAAAGCAGTAGCGTGTCACTGGAACACCTCCTGGTGCCGGGCAAAATTTCAGTTTGTTTATCAGGAGGGTGTAGACTCATGGGGAAGGGTGGGGAATAAGCACAGATTTTTTTTCATTTTTCCATATAACCAGCTGTAGGACAAGATGCCCCAGCACGTGCACTGGAGCCCTGGGTGCTGCTGAGGGCAGCGTCCCAAGGGGCCTGGAATGGGGCAGGGGCAAGCAAGGGGCTGTGGCCACCAGCCATGGTGCGCAGTGCACTGTCTCCCAGAAATGCAGCACATTTCTGAGCAAATTGCCAGAGCAGAGCGGGTGCTGCCCGGAGAGGTCCCCAGGCTGGGGACTGGCAGGCACCTGTGCCACCTGGCGCGGCAGGCATGGTGACTGCATTTCCCATGCTATCAGCAGTGGAAGCAGCTCTGCTCTGTACATTTTAAGATCTCTGTTTTTAAGGAAGTAGAAGTAGCTGTATAACATCGTGGCTTTGCACAAACAGGTTGTCATTATCCAGCAGTTAAGATTGTGATCAAAATGAACCGTCATGGATGCTTGTGAGCTGCCCCAAACCCCTTCCCCGCTATTTATTTTTATATGACACTTAAAAACTGAGCATTAAAGTACAGCAACTACTGGAGGACGTATTTTTCCATGCAAGCACGATTTCTGATTGGCCCAAGTTAGCTTTTCTGCAGCAGCAGTCTTCTCCCCAGCTCTTTGTCATGGTGATTCAGTAATGCTTCACCGTTGTCATGGTTGCGGGGCTACTACTAAAGCCAAAGCAATTGCACAGCCCTTTTATTCATAGTTTCAGTGTATAAACTAATTAAGTAAACTGAAAGCAGCAGCCTCTTCTCTGAGCCTTGTTTTTGCAATACTCAGTATCAGATGGACTGTGTTTCTGCAGTCCTTCCAAACATCAAAAACCTGACTATGCTTCAGCTCCTCGGGTGAGTTTAGCGCCTGAAGGCTGGGCAAAGTTCACTGGTCATTAAATCACCCAGAAGCGTCCTCCCAAAGCTGCGAGGGTCTCTGGAAAGCCTCTGCTCAGAGAGCAGCAATGCCAGAGCTGGGAGCCAGCGTGTTTCAACCAAGCCACATTCCTTATCGCTGCCTTGCTTGTGGCAGAAACCCAATCAAAATGTTTAGGTTCTGAGTTCATGCCTTGCTGTGTAAAACTCGTGGCAAATAATGGGGGGGGGTTGGGGGGGGAGCTCTCCCCAAACGTGCCTGGGGGTGCTGGGGGCAGCTACAGAAAATGATCTCCTCGGTTGTGAGAGGGTCGCTCGCACTCATGTTTTTGTTAACAACTTGATATAAGCACAGATTCTATTTGCAAGCCCTGAGAGCAACAAGAGGAACCCAATGGTCTCTGCGTGAGACCGGAACAGTCGCTCTGGCATTTGCCTTTGTCAGGGAATGGTTCAGAAGATTTAGTGTCCCGAATTGGTGCCCTGTTTACTGATCAGCTGCCGCTCTGCCCTTGGCAGTCATCCTTGTGTGCTATGGGCAAGGGGGAATTTAAGGATAAATTGAAGCAAAATGGAAACCTACTTCCTGCTAAAATTAGCTGTCTTGGTGTTCACCGGGTATCTCCCACAATGATGCACTCTCTGGCACCTTGTCCCAGGCACACAGCGCTGTGTGGGGTCAGCCCTCCTTCCTCCCAGCACTCCTCCTCCTCTGTGCCCAGTGGGAGATGCTTCCTGCCTCATGGTTCAGCTGTGCTGGGGACGTGGGCACTGACTGGCTTGTCCCAGTATGCAAGGGGACCCTGGGGACCAGGGCCAGTAGGTGCTGGGCTCTGCTGCCCTGGGCGGGTGCTGCAGTGCACCAAGGTCCTCCTGGGCACTACAGGCCAAGTGGGAGCTCTGGTAGTGCTGCAGTCCAAACCTGCGTCTCTGATGGGCTGTGCCCAAATCTGCCTCTGGGTGCCCCTGTTCCCAGAGTGACACTGCTGAGGTGGAGAGCTCAATTCAAAGCACAGAGGTGGCAGGTGCCAGGTACTGGTGCTGCTGGTAGTGGAGGTACAGCTGGGAATGCAGGCTCACTCGGACCGGCACTAGCCAAATCTGTATCACCAGCACAGGTTGTGGTTTTGTCCACTTCTCTTTTTTGATGCTGTTTTTGATTTAGCAAAGCAATGTTGCTGTGCCTCGTTGCTGCAGTTCCCTGTGCACTCTCATCCTGCAATGTCAGTTTTTCTCTTCTCATTAGCAGAGAGATGGTTTTCCTCCTGTAGGAGGACGAGGCCACAGCCTGTTGAGCAGCAACTGACGGCTGCACCGCTGCCTTGCACGCTGAGGTGCTCTTTGCTGGGCAATGCTCTTCCAAAAGGCAGTGCATAATCTCTGAGCTCCCGGCTGACTTCTGGGTGCTGTTAGCAATGAAAACAAGACATTTCATCTCAAAGCAGAGAAACTTTCAATGCTCCACTTTAATTAAATTAATCGTCAAAGCAAGGCAGCATGATGCAGTGTAACTTCATCTCTGCAAAGTCTGTTTCTCAGTAAAGTTTAGCATTGACTATTTTGAATTTACTAAGTCCCCTGTATTCAGGAGGCTGCCATAAATATCTGACAGAGTAAAGACACTTTCCTTCTTTAAATGAAGGCTAGAAATACTTTTCATCCCTACTATTTTAAGCATGGTGATCTAAAAAGCAATTCTGTAAGAGGGAGTTTACTTTGAAGAGATGTCAAGAGTTCCTGAACATTTTTTTGCCATTCCTTCAAAGAGCTCAATATTTGTTTTTCCTCAGTAAGAGTACTTGTTTATTTTGGAGGAATCTGTTTACACTGAAGTTTGCAATTCTGCATGCTTGGAAGACCAGTAATTTTACAGGCTTTTGCTCTAAAAATGCAACCTTCAGCCTTCCAGGAACATCTTGCCCCTGCAATTTGTTACCCATGCAAAGCACCAGGTCCAGGTACGTCCAAGCCCAACCAATGGATTGCATTGCAGAGTGCCAAAGCTGTGAAAATGGAAGACCAGCATCACTCCGTAATAGGCAGGTAGGTATTTTGTGGAAATATTTCCTCCAGATGGTGCAGCTCATTGTAGGGAAATATTTTGCCTGGGAACTGGGAAGATCACCATGAACGGGAGCAGGGCCCAAGCAGGAGGAAAAGCCAGCCCACTGGCACGCTTCAAAGCCAGCACATTTGGCGCAGAGGCAACATTCCCCCTGCTCCTTCAAGCCTCTTGCTGAGTGTGCTGACGGCAGCGTGCTGCCTCTTGGAAGTGCCCGAGCCTGTGGAGCAGGGGCAAGGGCCATTGCCACCTTCCCATGGGACGCTAGATGGATCCGGATTTGCCATTCCACAAGTGTTCAGGAATAATTGTCATGGTAGCTTTCTTAGTAAATCCTTTAACTGTTTAACTTATTCCCCAGAATTCTCGTGGGGGCGCAAACATAGCAGAGGGCACGAAGGTAACCCCAGTGTGCATGTGGTAAACCTTCTTCCTTGGCCCCAGCACCCACCCGGGTGCCACAATGGTGCTCGATGCAGCACCTCCTGCTCCCACCTCCCTCTCTGCTCCTCCCAGCACCGTGCCAGTACAGCAGTGTTGGCAGCTTTCAGAGGTTGCCAGCAGGGAAGGGCAGCGCTGTGCCACCACTGCATGAGGCCTGCTGCCCTGGGCAGCCTGCAGGAGCTTCTCCTCACGGCAGCGAGTGCCACGGGTCGGCGAGGGGCAAGTGCATGCGCTGGAAGGAACTGAGGGGGAAGGAGAAGGGAGGGAAAGGAAGAGGAAAATGTGACAGGAGGAGTGTGTGGTCTGCAGGGAAGGTGCAGTCTGTGACAGTGGGGAGTGTAACTTTGATAGCCGTGTTCTGCCAGGATAATTCCCCGCCCCAAATAATAATTCTCCAACAAAGACACAGAGGAGCTTTGCAGAGGGAGGTGCCAGTTAGGACAATTAACAGTTCCCTTCTGCTGCGGGGATGCTTACACAGCACCCAACACTCAAGCGAGGTTTGGCCAACCAACTCATTTCAGATTGATTTTTGTGTATTTTGGAGGCTGCTGCCTCATTTTGGAGGCGTAGCCTGGGAGGCTGCAGAGGAGGAGCCCGCCCATGACTGGCAGGCAAGGGGCCAGCTCTGCCCGGCAGCCCATGGGTGCCTCACGAGAGAGTCATGGCGCTGCCCGGCCTGCTGGGCCCTCATGGGCATGCCTGTGGCTCCCAAAGTGGTGGGGACTGGTGTCCCAACACCCAGTAGCTGTCACTGCCAGACAAAAACGTACCAGCCTCTGAATGTGACTGGGAACACCGCATTGTTGCAAGCCAGAGGCCTATTTTGGGCTAATCTGCGAGATGAGGCGACACGCTTGTTCTTGTGCAGGAAGATTCCATTGCCGATAAACATCAGTATATCTTTTTTAGCACAACGAGCTAAGCATGAGAGAAGACAACTATTTATAAATACCCTTAGGGGTAAATATCAAGCAGAGAAACTGTAGGAGTTAAAGGTTAATGCTAGCCTGGGATCAAATGGGTATAAATTAATCATGAATAAGCGCAGACTGGAAATGAGAAGACCGTTCACAGTAATGTGAGGAGCAAAACTCTGCAGCAATTGGAGAGAGGCCTGAGGAGCTGGCAGAAGGCTTGTGCACCCCAACAGAAGTTTCCGAAGACAGAAAATCGCTTTTTCCTGGGGATCCCTGGGGGTTCGGTGAGCTCCCCTCACCTGGGGGTGCCTCCCCTCCCTGGACCCCTGTGTGACCGAGTGCCGGGGGTGAGCAGACCGCCTGCTGATGGACCAGACCTGTGCTCGGTGATCTTGGTGGAAAACAGGTGTGTACAATTTCTGTTTTACTAAGGGTGGCTGTGGATGGTGCTGGGACATGTGCCCCATTCACAGGCCAGCTCTGCCTGCTGTCCCTGCTCACTGACTCGGCAAGCGGGGCTTCTGCCAAGGGACTGGCTGCAGTGTGTGGGCAAACAGAATGCCTAGAAGGTCCAAATAAATAACATGTTCATCTGTCTGCAAGACAGAAGATGCGGTCGTAGGTTGACTGTGTCTTATTTTCCTTATAATGCCTATTTTCCTAATAAATACCAGTCCCTGTGGCATTATAGATGGGCTGAGACAGAAACTGCCCAGCTCTCCTGTTTACTTTATGGATTCCCTCAGTTCCCTGCTGGCAGCTTCAGGCCAGTTTCAACTATTTCTCTCAGCTGTATCACATCACAGTATTTCTGTGGGCTCTCAAGAAACCACCCTGCACTCTCGAGGTCATCCTCCTCTCTTGCTGGTACATAGTGTAAGCCAAGAATATTTAAAGCATGATTTTGTATTATATCAAGCTGCTCTAGAAAGCACTCTGCACTGATTAACAGGTAATTATGGAAGACAAGTTTCACACAGTTCCCAGATTGCCTAGTATCCAGTGCTCTGCTGGAATAAGCTGGTGCCTTGCTAGTGGCCTGCTGACACAGCAACAGCACGCTGGGTCCCTGATGGGCTTTGGGGAATGTGTTGGACAAGACCCATAAAGCTGACAGTGAGGTAGGTGCAGATTATTATTATTATTATTATTATTATTATTATTATTATTATTATTATTATTATTAATGTATTTATTATTTTAAAATCTGCTGGGAAGTCTGAGATTAGTGTGGGCTCCCAGAATGTTGAAGTCAGTGGAGTTAATGATTTAAACCAAACTTACAGCTTTCTTCAGAGCCATTTTAGTACTCTGTCAGTTAGTGATGGGAAACAACCCTGGCAGAAGGTTGAAAATGCAGGAGGCAAACATCCACTTTTTGGAGCTGCAGGCGTCCAGGACAAGGTTTGTCTGCTCCTGTGTGCCTGCCCAGGGGGACCCCATGGTATGGGGCAATGTGAAGTACAAATAATTAACAAAATACAGTGTTTCTTGTTCAGCTAGAGTACCTGTAGTAGGAGAAGACTGACAGATGGATTAGCCCACGTGTCATTCATATTGAGCCCCATTAAGGTACTAAGGTTTTCCTGCCTACTGATCTTGATTTCTGTTCTGAGAGAAGATGTTTTTCTGATATATATTCTGATACATGTTCTCCTTAATAACAGACTGAATAGTCAGAGGATCTTCAATGAAATAAGACACCAGAAGAATGCCGCAAGTACAGGTATGGACATGCAATTGTTTCTATTTAGGCTTAACTTAGAAAAGTTTGAGTCTGCTATTAGAATAGCAGACCTGGCTGAACATCAGGATGTTGTTGGCTAACAGCTGTGTGATACAAAAAACTCATGTGCTTATAATTGTATTGCACTGAATAGCACCACAAGAACTTACAACAAAAGTTGTAAGCATTAGCCTAACTGTTCCCAAGCAGTTTGTGGGTTTTGGATGACACAGTTTTAGGGTGCTCAACCTGAAGGGTCAGTTTTCTGTTCTGCTGAGCCTGTGCCCTTCTAAGAGTCATGTATATCCTTTAATAAGTACCCAGCTGAACATCAGTTATTTCATGGAACATGACTTCTTTACTCACATAATATAAGTAAAATCGAAATTTACTGTCCAGACAATTAAGTAATATGAAAGCCTTGAAAGAGCTGATGGAACCTACAACAATCCATCAGACTATTTAATTGCATCTTCACATTGCAAATCAGTGTCTGCTTAATATGTGGAAAAATCTTTGACAGTATTTTTATATTGGCTGAGAAAAGAGTAAACTCAAGTGCATGCTGTGAAACTGTAGCAAACTGCACCACTCTCACCTAAAAACTTTTTGGAAATCCCTTTATGAAATACTGTATTATTTTACTCTTATGGTATTGACTGTAAAAGGTTCTGTGAAAGGCCACTGCTTGATTTTGCAAAGCCCCAACCTGTTGTTTGCACTTTACCACCAGAGATGTTCTTTGATATTTGATATTTATACATGTATAAAAATGAAACTCCTCATTCCTGAATTTGGTAGATTCTCATAGGTCTGTTTTTCTCAAATTCTGACATTTTCTGATATAATTTTCAGCAGTAAAAACAGACCTTTGGTATCAATTAGTTTGATCTTTTTCTTTTTTCCAGAAAATTAACTCTTTCCTTTTTTCTTTTATGACCCTCTCTTCTACAGGCCCTTTATTTCAATAGCAGTTGACAGAATTGACAAGAGCAGGGGTGCTAGTCCCCACTCCTCCTCTTCCCTCTGATGGAGTGGGGACTCTCTTGATCAGTTAGTTCCCTAACTGATCAAGTTACTTTAAAAGCAGTTTGAGCTGCCTGAAGAGCCATGTTATTTGGCTCCCAGGCTCTTCCTTTCAGGACTTATACGACCCCTTTTATGGTGTAGGAAAAACCTTCCCTATGTACACTTTCTGAACATTGCATGTGTTAAACTTCCAGGATAAACGACGTTTTGAGTGCTAAGTTGAACATTCTTTGAGGCTACTGGGCTGGCTTAACATCTTATCAGCAAGATGCTTGGACCACAGGACGCAGCTGAGCAGCATGCACTGAAGCAGTCCCAGCTGTCCTGCCCAGGTTCCCACGTGTGTACGGCACAGGGAAAGTGAGGAGCTGCAAGCTGAAGGGCTGCAAAGGAGGAAGGAGAAGATGGTAAGTCTGCAGCATAGGAGGCAAGGACCTGGCAGGTGAAAGATACTTTGAGCATCCCTGGGACCAAAGAGGTGATGTCCTCCACTGTGCTAGGTGCCACACAAAGGGGAGAAATGCACGCTGTGCTTCCAGCTGACACCTATGTAAAGAGAAGTAGGGTTCTCTGGAGAAAAAGGCTATACATCTAAAAGTAGTTCTGGTGGTGGCTAGCCATGGTGCATACTGTGTTTCTAAAAACGTCTATTGTCTGCTGCTCTGGTTTGAGGAGCTGTAATTGTATAGGGAGGAAGGGAGTCCAGGGATGTGAGTGATTACACACAAAGCCATGGGATTAAAGAGTGAAGGACAGAGGGAAAAGATGCCCAGATAAGTAAATAAGATCACAGGTAGAAAAGGAAGTCTGGAGCTGACAAGAGGGCAAGAAGTAGGGCAATAAGCAAGAGCTAGGTGTTGCACTGTTTTAGAAAGGAGAGTAGAAAATGATGAGGATGAAGATAGTACCGAAAGAAATTTTTAAGGGCAAGAGAGCCTGTCACAAAAAGTGCAGAGGAAGCAGCATTAGAAAAGACAGCTGCGGCTTGTGGTGTGTGAGGAGATGCAGAGAGACAGGCCCTTTTCAAATAGAATACATCAGAGGGGGTTCTTCAGTCGCTTCCTGTTTTTCGTTGTGTTCCAGGAATTTTCCTTAGATGATAATTTTCCAACTTTCAAATGTTTTTGCCATGTTAATGATATTTTTAAGGTAAATGAACCAAGTAGTGAACAACATCAGACTGCTTGAAGACAAGCACATGATTGCTGTAAATGACAAAGCAAAAGGGAATAGCATGAGAATGACAGATCATAATTCTGACAGCAATTTGTGATGTCTGGATTATCACATGTGATGTCTGGGTACAACACAAAGCAGCTTTTTCTATGTATTTCTTTAAAGCCATCTGTTTTTTTCACGTGTTCTCTGAAATTCCTTCATCTGCCCAGTGCCAGAGCTGACCCTTGTTGACTGTGGTATGCTTTCACTCAATATGTTTGCTCCCAGAAAAGCTCACTCCCTCTCCCTCAGTACATAAAACAGCATGATTGACATTATTCCCAGGTTAAAAGTTTCTTACTTACATACACAGAAAGAGAGCACTTTGCCGTGGTACTACAATTGATTAAAATAAATCACCAGTTACTCAACAAGGCAAAGGATGCTTATGAGTGGTGTTCCATCAAATGGGGGGATACAGACCTGATACCACAGCAGTATCCACGTCATGAAATATCTAGGGTATTTCCTGGAACGGAAAATCTTTCTGAACACCATTTGGGGCATCAAAAAGGTGCAGTAAATGCTAAGGATTATAATTTGTTCTCAAGTTCCCAGATTTGTATGTTACTGTAACAAAGCCTAATCTTTTGAATCCCTAATAATGGAGAGCTTTTTCCAGAAAAAAATAAAAAGCATAATACATGAAGTCGTCTAAGAATGATAATTAATGCTTCTCAGATGTAAACACCGTGCAAAGGTCTTTCGTTAGATCTGTACGATACGTGTGATTTAGGTGCTATATAATGCAGATAAGGCCAGGCATAACTGGTGTCAATGGGACTACAAATCAAGGGTGTCTACTTTCATAACTGCACTTAAATCATCAAAGAAGAGGTAAAAGGTGGTCTACAAAAGTAAGATAGAAGTAAATATATTACCAGTATTAGAACAGAAAGTGCAGGCAGCTAAAGAATACCTTTACTGACTTTGCAAAGCTGAATTTGAATGAACTGTCACCTGAATCATGGAGTGAATCATGGAGTAAATCAGGCTATCCCGATCTGCTTTTGATCTATCGCTCCATTTTATATCAACAATTGATATGTTGATACCAGTGGAAATTATTTCCCCGTGTTCACTGGCATATTTCAGAACCAGTTCCAGTGAGCCATCCTCCATGACACCGGTATTATCGGTGTGCTGCCATCAACACCCAGAGTAGGTGCACAGCAGAAAGCAATAAAATTCCCAGGAGAAGACCTGGCAGGGAAAGAAAATCTCATTTTCTGCTTTCCATTTACAGCCTAAAATAGCCAGTCTGCTGGGAACAGTAGTTCTTTGCAAAAACAGCGATTATGAAGACTATGGTCTTATTTACTTTGTGCCAGTGTTGCAGCACACACCGTATACTCGCAGGGTATTTTTAGTCACGAATTCTGCCAGGCAGAAACACAGAGGAGTTAATCACATGTAGCAAATTAAACAATAGCAAAAAAGCTTGCAGGATTGGGGGGGGCTGCAGCAGCAGAATGTTGTGTTACCCTTTCTAACCCAACTTCCTAAATGCAATTGGATTGGGGGATTCTGGGCAGGGTAAAGGCAAAGGGCAGTGGTAGCTTTTGACCTGGATCAAGTAGTCTCCATCTATACTTGCAGTCACCAAACCGAGGCAGGCCAAATCTCTCTACATTCAGATTATGGTCAGAATGAAAGCACTTGTGTAGTTAAATTTGTGACTTTGCAGGTGATGAGCTGCTGTGTGCCCCAGCAGAGGTGGGTGATGCAGGAGCAGCTCCTCAAGCACAGCCATCAGCACAGCAGAGACAGAAAGGCACCTTCTTCTTGTTCCCTTCAGTGGACACAGAAATCTATTGGTGCTGGTAACCTTTTGTCTAAAAACATAGTAAGAGTAAAATGAAATTGTAGTTATTGGTTATTGTTAAGTCATAGCAAACTATTTTGGCTCAGTTTATACTGAGATTTATGGCAAATGGCATTTACTGGAATGAACACATCACTGTTCTAAATGAAACCCTTTCTTTCATTAGTTCAAAGGAGCTTGTAAAATCCTTTATTGTGACTAAAATTTTGTGTAATGTTGGATATCGTTTACCCAAAGATTGTGCCATAATGTTTATTTACAGCATTAACATCTTAAGTCTTGTGGTTTTGTTTTGTTTTGTTTTGTTTTGAAGTGAAGCAGTAGGGCTCAAGTGGACTCCTTCACATCTGTTATCCCTGTGAAAAATAGCATGTGCCTTTTCAGGAATTAAATTAGGAATTAAATATGGAATCAGGAAGACAGGTATAAGGAGTTAAGGGGATCTGAATGCTGACAGCACACCCGCTATGCCATGGGCACAGAATACGTTTCAGCCACCCCCTCTGTCCTGAGCAGAAAATACCTGCCAGTGTCACGGTGTGTGGTGGCTGGCTTCCTGTTGGGCTGGGAAGGAGGGACAACAGGCAGTCTAAGGCAGAAGGATGCCCGAAGTGTGTTTTGTTGTCTTCCAAGGGGAAAGTAAATCACTGCTTACTTTATTACCATGCCTTTCCTCTCCAGTGACATGACCAAAAGAGAGGCTGGAGAAGAAGCAGTTTACTCAAGTCTCCACAGTGCAAAGGCTGAAAAAATGCACCAAATTTAAGACCAATTTTATATCTCTTCTGGAAAGGCAAACCTTTTCCTCTCTAATGGGAAGATGCAAAGAGGATTATGATGGCAATATCCTTCCTCAGGCAGGTTTTTCTTTTTTGTTTTTGTTTTTGTTTTTCTGGCAGGAGAGGTCTTTTGTAATAAGTAACTGCTCTTTGTTATGAACCAGCCTTTGTCAGTGACCACAGGGACACAAAATAGATGCTATCTGCCCAAAAGAGCTCACAGTCATTGACAATCATTTTGTTTTCTTTACTGGGTAAAAGCAAGAAAATGGCTTTTAAATTAGATGTTGAACCCCTTCCAGAATTGCAATATAAGATACTGAATCAATCATTCTTCTTACAGTTACCTCCTACTCCACAAGCTCCTACTACCATAAAAATTGCTTGTTGCAAACTGAGCTGAGTGAGTAATTTGCAGTTTCATATTTGTTTGATAACTTTTTCCTCTTCCTCTTTTCATTATTTGTCCGTGAGCAGATAGATGTTCCTGAATCTTTTTCTTTTTTTTTTTTTTTTGAAAACATATGCTGTAATCATTCTGCAAGTAATTCTCTCTGTAAGTCATTTGTGAGCAATTTGCTGAGAAGTGTTCAAACATTTGTCCTAATTCTGCTCGCCCTATATGAACTTGCATCACATGGTGTCTGCTCCTCAGCTCCATCAACACATCAGAAGAGCTGGGTTTCTGTTGAGTCTTCTCGCTGGGAAAAATCACACTTCTGAAGCCCCTTCCTAGAAAACTCGCATAGAAAGCAAGAATTATTCAAAAATGATTTCAGATTTAGGCATGCACATTCACTGAGAGGTTCACAGTTTACCAGCATCTGTAATGTTCACACCAGCTATAAGACAGCTTTTCCAGCCCTAAAGAGAACATCATTCGCACACTTCACAACTAGGGTCTGCTCCTAGCCAGAGCTTTTGTTGCCTTCCAGTTCATTCCAATTTGGCTCACAAAGCATCCCTTGTGTGCGATGAGGCCTTCAATGGCATATAAAGTGGTTGGGTTCCAAAGTATGACTGATATCATGCACAATTTCACCACTCAAAAATTATTTAATCCCCAGAAATAATTACAGTGTTCTACTGGTTATTGTTGCATCTTAATGAAAAATAACTCTATCAAAATGCTAGCTGAAGGGTCTGATCCAGACCCTGCTGAAGTCAGTGGAAAGCCTTCCTCTCTGAATTATCTGCCACTGAATAGACAGAGGAGACTCTGCTTCTCAGATTGTAAAACAGCATCTCTTCAGATAAAAGTTTAAAAGAATTCGCTGTTCAGAGGGATTTGGGTATTTAATGTGTCTCCTCTTAAAAAGAAAGTACTGGAATGCATATGCAATATTGAAAAGGAGGTAAGGAGGTAAAAAATTCGAATGCCAAGTGCCGACCTTAACTGGAGCAAGAATTTCAAACCCAAAGTTTGCAGCTTGCCTGAAATGTTTCCTTTAAAGATGTTTGTAGAATACAGGTCTTGGCTCTTGCTGGTATGCTGCAAAAATGCTGCACTGGTGTTTTAGATAATGTAAACAATTGCTGCAACTTGTCACCCAGGTACTTCATGATTTTAAATAGAAGAAATAGAAATGAAAAAGTCATGAAATCTATGGATGATATCTGTGATTTTAACTATGTCACATATGGGCATCTTTTCCCTGATTCCTTGTGAAGGGTCCACTCCATGAAAACATGAAAACCTTGGGGAAAAAAAAAAATCCACATAGAATTACTGAAGAATGCAAGTCATAAAGCAATTCACATTTTTTCCAGGTAGGAATTTTGCAAAGGGAGATTATGTTTTCCTTTCAAACTGTCTTCTTCTGAAATTATCTTTAAATTTGTCAGTGCAGACAGGACTTAGTGCACCTTATTAATGTTCCTGAGCTACATCATCTGAGATGGACTGAAATTTGAACTGTTGGTGCTGATAAGTAACGCTTGGGATTCATTTATTCCATTCCATTTAGTATGCTGCTGAAATAAGCTATTGATGCCAAGCATCAAAATTCCCTGGACCTGACTTTTACACAACCAGTTGAGCCCTATCTAGAACTCAAGCATCGAGTCTTCGGGAAAAATAGTGTGCTGGGAAATTCAGAAGCCTGAGTGTCAATTTCTCTTCAAAAGTCACAGCAGTATTCTCACTCTTTTCCAGCCATGACGAGCACATAACGGCAGCGCCAGGCGGCACACGGCTCTGCAGCAAGGTGTCGAGCGAGAGGCAGCAGCTGTTCGTGAGCCGTGGCAAACGTCACGCGTTCACGTTCACAGCCCAGGTGGCTGCTTGCAGGATGCAGCAGCAGCGAAGCCATCCGCTGGGCCAGGAGCACCAGGCAGCATGCTGGAGCTTGGCACGGAGCTCTGTCCAGAGGCTGTTGTGAACCGCGAGCGTGCTGGCTGCAGCACAGCAGGTAAAATCACATTGAGACATTCAAACAAGATCATTAGGTTGTGTGAATGTGCATCTTGGTTTTATGGTGCGGTTGTAAGCAGCCAGTGTAGTAACAGGAAAATAACCCAGCGCAGTTCACGCCCTGCCACGTCACGTTGCTGGCCTTTCTGAGCATGAAGTGTTATCATTGTACTCATAAATCACATCCCTTAAGACAGGGAGATTATCGTGAAGCTGAATAATACTAACTTGCACTTCAAAGAGATACCTACTTTTTCTTCTAGACAGAGCAGAATAGCTCATAGTTACTTCCTTGTATGCTGAAGTTAAATTTTACATCTTCAACATCAGCAAATCTATCAGTTTCCATTACGTTACTTAAATACCCAGAGTAGTGTTGTGCCCACTGCCTAGCAAGTTGTGTATTTTATGCTCAGGATGCTTCATACATCAGTTTAAAGGCAGATGCCAGCTGTTTTAGAAGCCAGGCATACAAATTCCTGTGCCACTTGACGTGCACAGAGATCTGCTTTCTGCAGAAAGCAGGTCTCAAATGTAATAGAATCTTTTAATTTAGTTTTAATTCAGTTGATGCTGAGTCAAGTAAAACACGACTACCTCAGAGATACAGCATATTTCTTTGCACTTTTCACCATTAGCTGATTTTTTATAGTGCCTAAGTTACACAACTTCACATTTGGTATTCTGAACCTAATGAATTTTAGGGCAAAGTAGTTGTCATATGCTGTCGTGTGTTTTTTTTAAAGCTTTGTAGAAGGTGGATTCTTTTCAGTGCTTTCTTTTATCTATAATTATTACACAAACACATCATATTATACATAACAGGAAAATGTTGCTATACTAAAAGTGCCCAACCTGTCTTAATTTTTGAATCTGCATAGTTAACTCCATTTATATCACTGAAAGGGCAGTGGTCCAAAGCATAAATAACTTGAACTCAAAAATAAGTGTTGCTGCGCCAAACAGAAGGGATCTATGGTGACTCTTGAAACACTGGGGCTGGGTGCAGGTCCACACGGCTCTGTCCCCATGGCTTACCTCCACCAGAGTGAAAGGCGTTGTTAGACCCCACTGAGCTGTGCTCTGCTTCGCTGGGCCAAGTGTGGGAAATAACGCAAACAGAGAACACTTTGCACCATGCACCCTTGTGCTCCAGAGCAGGTATAATCTCTGTAATTACACCACAACCGCCTGGAAAATACCATGTAAATACATAGCAATTGCATGTTCCTACAGCTTACTTGTTAATTATGCATTGTTACTAACAAGTTCAAAGATAAATTATCATAGCACTTGCAGCACTTAGATGCTTGCAAAGCTTCTAAGCCGTGTAATAATGGAATTCGTACTGTTAAACGGTCGGCTTTGTTGCTTTTCCATTGGAATGGGGAAGGGAAGCAACGTGCCTCTCACGCCCAAAGGCCCATAGCTGGAGCGTGTCCTTCTTACTGGTGCAGCAGAAGTATGCTTAAGTACAAAGTAAGATGGAACTTCTACCTATAAGGAAATACGGATGAATTAAAAAAAAAAAAATCATTTCCGTTAACAAATCACTTTGCAAATTCCATTTACTAATCCTCCTAAGCAAATGCTGTTTTTAAAATCACTGGCACTTGCATGCAAGTAGAACTAATACTGTTTTTCTGACCCAATATTTAATCTTGCACAGGCTAAAAAACGAAAGGAAAACCTCATTCCACTGATGTCATCGGCAAAACTCCTATTGATTTCAGGGAGGGCAGGGTTCTACCCAGGCAGCTTACTTGTAAATGGCTCCTTGAAATAGCTTATATTATATTCTGGCAGAAATAGATCACCATGTAAGGCCACTTTACAGCCCGTGCTGGCTCTTCTGTGAGCCACACTGCAGTATTTTAGACTACAACTTCTAACTTCTAATAGGTATTTTAATAGTATTCAATAAAGTAAAATTAGCTCTATAAACATTGCTCTTCTCCAAAGGGAAGCTTCCCTGTAAGATATGCCTCTGTAATGGTCTGTTCACCTGTTTATAACAACCCTTATAGCCTGTGCAAAATCACTTCGGGTTTTTTTTGGTTGGTTGGTTAATTAGTTATCTGTTTTTCTCCTCAATTTTATTATTTTTATATTGATTTTCAATGTGAAAGGTGATGTTGATTTTTCTGACAATTTGTCTTGTAGTTGTTGATCTATTTCTTCTAGAAATGACTCTCACTGCCAGGAGGCGCAGAAGTTAGCACTCAGATACTTCCAGTTCAGTACCAGCAGAAGCCCAAAGCCAGCAGTTGTTCCCTGTTACATACAAAGCCTGTACGTAGAGGTGGTAGCCCCACTGTAACCAGCTATGTGGAGCTGTAGACCCAAGTGGCCCCAGCACACGGAGCTGGCTCTGAGGCAGGGCAGCACTGGGTGCCCACAGGCACCTATGCCAGGACATGTGCTGAGCTTTTAGTGTGGGCAGAAGTCTAGGAATGATGGGCAAATTTGTAGTAGAGACTCCTTAGTGACGAAGGGGCAAGGGAACTAGGGGAGAGAGCAGGAGAGCTTGCAGGGAGGCAGAGAAAGCAAGAGGTTGGTGTTCTGGTCTGATTTGAAAGAGCTACTAAAAGGAGAGAGACCAACATGCCAAAGAGAGATTGCATTTCAGCAGGAAGAGGATAGCTGGCAATGTGCAAGGCAGATTTTAAGGTTAAGAAGGAGAGCAAGGAAAGGGATGAGAACTGGTTTATAGAAGCCAAACAGGAAGAGAATGAGATTAGATCACTGCAGCAATGTGTAACATGTTGGAGTGCTTTATTATCTGTTGTGCTCTTTAATTGTGAGTATAAGACGATGATTTCTAAAACGAGTATGTACTTATTTAAGCTTATTGGCTCTCCTGTGGAAAATAACTTCATATGCAGAATGATTGTTGTTTTAAATGGATTCATTTTCATGTAACTTGCATTCACTTTAAATAAAAGGGAGCCGAGCATTTCCAGTATTACAGAGCAGGCAGAATAACAGAGGCTCGCTAGCCCTGCTGCGGAAGTCAATAGCTTCTTTGAAAACAGTATCCTTGTTCAGATGGAATTGCCTTGCTGTCATTTTTCTTTTCACTCCCTCCAGAATCCTACACTGGAGCCTGAAGGTATCATAGGTTTTCCTAGATACTGAATATCTTCCCCATACAAACTGAATATCGGTGATCTTTTTAAATTCTTAGGGGCTGATCTTGTTCCTCCTGAAATCTACTATGAGGTTCTTGCTGCCCACAGGGGTATCAGAAGAGGTTTGACCAGCCCAGATGTTAGCTTGAAATTCTCCCTACGAATAAGGCCTAGGTATACTGACTGAGAGACTCATTAATAAATATCTTAGGAGAACATGGTTCCCTTGAAAAGCTAATTATTTTGATAGTTACTCATTCCCCCCCAAAAAAGTCTAATCAATGAGAGAACAAATTAAAAATTAGGAATCTCATGAAAACAGACAGCAGAATACTGCATTCAAGAGGACAGCCACCAATTAAGAGAAATGTCAACAACTCAAGTGGCAGCAACTTCAAAAGGGAAATCTTTTCCTCATTTTCGTATGCATTCTTCATAAGCAACATCAAGAAGTGTAACATGCTAATAGCTAATAACACTCAGAATAAGATTCACTAATTTACTAACTGAATAATTTAGTGCATATCAAAGGAATGATTTTCTCATTTCATTCCTTTTTTAGATCTAACACTAAGCTGGGTATTATCAAGTAGATGAAACTGCACAGATTACAAATCATCACTGAAATAGTCATTTTAGAATTGAGGTTGGTTTTTTTGTGTCGAATGCTTCTTTTGGTTTTAAGAAATCATGTTCATTTTTTCTCGTTATAATCCAGATTGCAAAACAAAAACAAACAAAAAATCTGGAAGCTTTCTTTGTGGAAATGAGACATTTCACCAAAAAAAAGTGCCTCATGGAGATGGATCTGTTATGATGTTAAACTATGGGTGAAAATTTTGGGGACGGGGGCGAGAGCCAGCCCCCTGTCTCAGGTGAGCTAGTAATGTGGTGCTGGGGAGATGCACCTGAGGTGTGGGAGCTGGGGCTCTCCTGGTGCAGAGGACTCTCCTGGGAATGGTACGGGGTGGGTTTGATTCCTGCAGGGACCGGCAAGCGACTGCCCTGGTACCCCAGCAGCATGCACCGGGCTCCTGCGGTGCCCCCAGCGCGGGGGCGGGCAGGCTGCTGGAACCACGGGCTTTGTGGCAGATGGAGCGACATTTGCAATTGGGAAAAAAACACTCTCATTCTGCCAAAATATTAACAAGGGGCTTCCTCAGAAATAGTCTGCCACAGCCATTGATACGTGTAAATTCCGTATGTAAATACAACTTCCTCCAATTAAAAAGGTACAGTTTCAGCAGGCTGCCTGAGGACGAGGAACTCTGCACTGTTTTTTTTTCTCTCCAGCAAAATCCTTCATTTTGAGTCACAAGTTTTCAGTGCTGCAACCCCTCACAGATATAACTTGTAGCTGCAGTGGGCCAGCAGCACGCAATGCTGGTTTGGGGCCTGCTGTACGGTGGTCCCTGACTTGGCTGTGCTCGGTCAGGTGGCAGGCTTGGCAGCAATGGCACGGTGTGAAATCAAACAGGGAACGGATTCTTTTGTGTGTGTGGTTTTCTTTTTTGTTTGTTTGTTTTTAGGCTAATATATCTCTCTTTGTGAATGCCCAGATTCCTTACACTGCGGGAAAAACAACCAGAATTTCCTGACCTTCCTTTATAACACCCATTATTTTACATAGCTTTATAATGTTCTTTGTTAATTTCCTTTTAGAAACAAACTCTCCTATTCCTTTTAGATTCAGCATATATGCGACATCAAAGCATTTCAGTGAATTCTTCATTCCATTTACATGCCAGCTCTCTGGTGATGGAGTCAGACGTGTCGTGGTAGTCCTGCAAGCCGTAAAGCCATCCAGCTTTTCTGCCACTGCTGCAGTTCTCATTGCTGTAAGTACTGACCACTGGGGGACTGATCCTCAAACATCAAAAAACCTTTCTTTGATGACCTACTGTTTTAAAGAGGGCAATAGGACCAGCATGTTTTCTCCTTAAAGATAAAACGACAGCCATTGTCTGTGTGCTAAGAAGGAACCAATAGTTATTTTCAACTTCAATTTGTTCTGTGCATTGTGAAAAAAGCTGAGTAATTCTATTCTCATTTAGGAGAAGACTACAGGGGAGAGAAATATATTTCTGATATATTTTAGAGACTTTTCTAAAGAACAGGCTGTCACAGTGCGGTATCCCACACCAATGAAAACCTTTTCCCCAGGATTGTCAGTTGTGCCTAGTTCTCCACCAAGTATATTGTCATGGATATTTGCACTAAACTGAGAGTTATCCAGCATGATACTTCTGAGAATTCAGATTAGCCTCAGTACTGAGCTAAGGAAGTCATGAAGGCAGTCTGCATCATAGTGATATTATGATTGCTCTGAAACAGCGACGTATCACATATCTGTGTTTTCATTCTGCCAGAGACATATTTTCAGAAAGGCAGTTTCTGATGACATGTTTGGGCAAATGATGCCTTATCTGCATGTTTTTTTATGTATCATCCTGATCTGGTAACTTGAATGCCATAAGGAGAAAGCTATGTTAATTGCACATGTTTTTAAGTCATCGCAGTCCAAAACACATGCCTCAAAACTATGTGCCTCAGAAAGTCTGGTCACTTGTTTGAGAAGCCGGAGATGTTCTGCCTCTGTTAGAGGAATCAGGGAACTTTTTTATAACAAGAATCTTCAGGCATGATAATCTTAGCCTTGTGGATATTGTATATTTCTCCTGCCTAAAAATAAAAACCACTAAGTATATGAGCTGCTACTGTAAATACAAGCACGAGTAAAAGCGTTCGTCTGTTGCCAGACTCCTCCTCCCACTTGATTTCAGTAGTCAGCAAAAATACTTATTCAGTATTAAGTTACAGAAAAGGATTGTTGACCCTGGTATAATGGAGAGCTAAGATAAAGTCAAGTCAATGAAGTTTGCTTCAGCTTGCAACATTTCAAATAAAGCTTCTACATTTGTTTGGCTCTTAAAAATTAAACGATATAGAAAATATTAGTTAAAAGTGAAAGTGCAGATAGTCTACAAGTGTTTTTCATAAAGTAATTTTAATTGAGATGCTCACAGCTGAGTTAGCATTATTTGCTGCTAATTTAGGTTTCATTCTAAATAGTGTATGTTAACAAACTTGGACCACTTAATGCTAAGTGCTTTACATTTTTCTCTTTAATTAAATTTTGCCAAAGAACTATGTTACATAAGCATGTGCCCTTACAAAGAGCACACTCTCAGAGCCTGGTTAGAGATCAGGTGCCCTTGCAGCAACTAGTGGTTTCCTACTGATCTCACTGGAGACAGGATTTTTCTCTTTACCCTGTACTTTTTTTGTATATATGGGTCCTAAAAGTTATTTGATTACTTAATACACAGGTTCTTGGGTACATTACTCTAAGAAACTTATTTTAATGAGCTCCAGCCTGTCATTTACCATTTCTGTTATTAGATAAAAACAAGCCTTACTTCAGAGTTCAAACTTATATATTCCAGCAATTACAAACATATTTGAAATACGACAACAGATGCCAGTTTAGATAAGTTTCTAGTCTGTGGATGGAGGTAGGCATTTGCTGCAATAATCTGCAGTTTTACTGCAGAATTCGAGAATTGCCTGGAGAGAGCTCTGGGAGAATTGTGTACAATTTCGGGGTTCTTTTTACTGTACAGTAATCTAGTACAGGTGGTTCAGACATGGAAGTGGCATAAAAATAAAGAAAATTTTGAATAATCTTTAAGGTCAGTAGTATAAGATCTAGGCATAACAATTTACCTTTAATTCTGAGATATTTTTCACCAGTGTGAGATGAAACACGTTGAAGTAGGCGACACAGACTGATGCTGCCGTTCTTCCATGTGCCCAGATTTGTGCAGGGTTGTGCAGCACTCTTCTTTTCCACGGGCAGCATGGCTCTCAGGAGTGCAGTGCAGCAGGGACCAGACAGTGATGTGGCTGCCTGGGCTCTGGATGCTCACCTTGGCCAAAGCATCACAGCGCACAGATGCCAGGTTTCGACTCCCCGTGCAGCTTTTGCCACATTGGCACAGTGGCCCAAGAACGTGTTGGAAACACGTGCAGTAAGGATGCTATCCAGCTATGCCAAACTCTGGGGTTTGATGTTTGAGTTTTGGTACAAAAGAAAAGGAAAATGAGGGCTGCTCTGGGACAGCCCTGCTCAGAAGTGATGGCTGGGGTGAGGTGTTGACCCCGTGGCTCTGCAGGCTGCTGTTGTCGTACGGCTGCAGGAACAGGGCAGGCTGGCTGAGCACTGCTCATCTACCTCAGCGCAAAGTTACTCTCCTAATGGGTATTTTTTTCAAAGTTCTAAGATGTTACCTAGTTACCATAGCCTAGTAACCATTTAGACAGATCAGAGCTTTTCCTTGCCACCAGGTAAGCAAGTGACTCTCAGTGAGTCCAGTGACACTGAAACCGCCCAGCTGCAAACCAGAGTGAGACTCCATAAGAAATTTATTTGAAGCGTTCAGAGGAACACTGCAGTATGAGATGAGTTATGATTAGTCTTGACAATGCTAATTCAGTTTAAAATATGCTTAACTGGTTTAAAAATAAAACTTCAGCCTCCCTTCCACTGCAACCCAGTCCTGAAGCTATTTCGGCGCGCGTTGCCTGTCCCATGCCTTATTTTCTGATTCGGCTGCGAGGTTACTATTAATAGCCCAGAAGCTGGGGGGAGGAAGTGCGACTACCAAGTTCTGCAAACAGTTTTATGTGCGCTCGCTTCTCGGCTGTGGGCGAGCGGTGCCAGCCCGCCCGTGTGCCGCCGGGGTCAGCCCTGGCCACGCTGGACCACCCATCCCTCCCCGCGCGCGTTGCTAAGAGACCTGCTCTCCTCCGCTGAGCCTCGTGGAGAGGAGCACATCAAAGACACCCACAGCCCCGAATGGTTTTATAAATGAATTTAAAGAGACACTCTCCCGTGCTGTGTTGTGCTGGGGGGAGATCAAAAGTTGCTCTATGTGCGGAGAGCAGCTGGAGAATTCAACTGGCTTCTTCTGGAAAATAAAAGTGCTCTCATTACTGAGAACCATGTTGTATTTACTTTACTTTTTTTTTTTTTTTGCTTTTTTTCAGAACTAGACTACAAATTTATGCTAATTAATGTTTTCAGTTTTATGGCAGGCAAGACATTGAACGCAGGCCAGGGTGCGTGTTTGTACGACTTTCAAAAGTAAGGTTTTCTGTCATCAAGTGACAAGCTGTTTTTGATTAACTCTCTTCATCTCTGAAAATATTTCATTCTGTAAATTTTAATTGCTTTTCTGACTTACATTGAAGTTGAGGAAATCACAGGGTAAACATCAAGTGAAACATCTTTAAAAGAATAAATGATGAGAAAATAATCCGTGTAAATCGATATTTGTTCTGTCAGGCTGAAAAGCTAAGACACAAATATCTCAGACCTTTCTGAAAAGGATAAAAACCAAATGAAAAAATCTTTAATTAAAAAAATCTGGGTGTATATATAAGTTTAAACATTACCTCTTGCCAGACCAGCACTTACCTGGCATCTGCTCAGCTCTTCTATTCTGCACAGGCTGTGGGCTCTAAGAGCACACTGGCAGCTCAGGCGAGCATTTCCTGAAACAGAAAAGGCAGGAATTATTTGCTTATCTACTTGGTTTCAAACACCATCAACATGTGGTAAAAAGGGAAGAAAAAAAAAAACAGCAATGAGAAAGAAAGTGCAAGACTTTCATTTTCAAAGACACCATGGTTGCACAGCTTTGGGAAAAGCGAGAGGAACCCAAATAACGTGCTAACAGCGCTGCCTGAGCAAGCCAGACAGATCATTTGCATGGAAAGCAAAGCTCTCAGGTCAAATGGCTGCAAAAAAAGGTGTCTTGAAAATCACATGTAAAATTCTTTCCATGTGCAAATCTCATTTTGTGACCGGCCACACTAGCCACATAAGCAAAGGTCTCCTTTAAAGCAGTTTCAGGGGCTCGTTCACACAAGCAGGTGCTCGTGCAACTGCAGGCAGAAAATCTCTGGCTTCAGGTGCAGCGTGTACCCGTATTATCTCCTCTCCTTGCAGCGTGCCTGGTGGCTGAGCAGAGCTCGCTTCTCGCTCTCTGCCTGTGCCTGCAATCTCGCATAAATCTGAGGGTAGATTAGTGAAACCTAATACACTCCAGGACTGTAAAGGGATTAATCTCACATAAATCTTCACCAAAAAAAAAAAAAAAGGCATTAGTATTTATTTACATGCGTTTTATTTTCCAATGAGGAAAAAGCCTCCTTTTTTTCCTGCATCAGTAAAAGTCTCTTCAAAATTCAAATGGCTTAGACTTTGCATTTAAAATCCCCTGCACTACAGTTAACCTATATTCTAGAGCTCAAATAGAAAACTAAAAGCATGTGTTTTAGAAAAGAACTTAGCTAGCTTTTCTGTTTCGTTACTAGATATCTATTACAGGGGCAAGATGTGGACTGTCTTCTCACTGATAGACTGTTTTAAGTATAAACATCTTGACCACTGCTATGTTGTCAGCGGTTAGTAGATTCGGTGTGTTTGGCTGAATTTCTGAAGGGGAAAACTGTGACTTGCACTCTAAATATTTTTTCTGGAGAATGGATTCCTCAACAGACTGTGGGCATCTTGTACAAAATCCCAGCAAACATTCCGAGAGGAGCACAGCACTGCCAACTCACCAGCCTTGGAAACCAAAATCTGGGTGACCCGCGGGTTCCCTCCATGCCACCACCTGCCCCACACGGGTGCACGGTCACGAGGGCTGGGAAAGAAATGATGCCCGCTGCGAGCAGATGCACTTACTGGTTGCTACTGGTGTTTATGGCAAGCCTGTTTCAAGATCCTGACCAAGTTTTGTTTGAGATCCACTTTGATCAAGCTTGCGTTTAAGGTAAAATGTTGTGCAGCGGGCATGTCCTGAGAAGTTTAGTTAGTCGTCGTTACTATCATATTTTATTAATATTTGTAGAATTTTGGTTAACAAATGCAAATAATTTTAAATCTCTGCTCCTTATTTATTTCCAGGATACTGTAAAACATCCACAGGAGTGGGGCAGGCAGATCACAGCTGGGAGCAGGCAGGGCAGAGGCTGGGGCGAGGAGCAAGAAGCCATGGTTTTGGAAGCCGGGAAGGTGCTGAAGGCCATTGTGAATGTTAATAACGTTATTTCATGTTTTTACAGTGCATCGTGTGCTTAAAGCACCGCATAGACTACTGGTAATTAGTGATCTGGATGTTTCTGAAATGATCAGCAGTATCATTTAAATTGTCATTAAAATACAATTAGCAGCCCTTTGAACTGAACGCTGTAGTTCAGAGCAGCCTAATTGGTGGCTTGTGGGGCAGATCTGACAGCGGGAGGAGGCTGGCTGCTTCTCCTCGCCTCTCACTGTGCCTGCCCCAGGAGCAGCAGCCGTACCCCTCGACACGCAGAGCCCTGATGGGGCTGGAGGGGCAACTGCACAAAGCACCCCTTGCGTGCAGCCCACTGCACCGAAACCCAGGGATTTCTTAGAGCTCACTGAACTCTGCGTGCAGATTCCAGCAGGTGCTGCTCCACCGTTTTATACTGAATATTTCAAAACAATTCACTTTTTTTGTTTGTTTGGTTTTACTTGGCTTTCTGAGCACTTGGCTTTTTGCAGTAGCAAAAGCTGCTGTGGCAAGGTTTGTAGGGGTGAAATTCTGGAGCCTATGGGCAGTAGGTGGTGAGACCAACAACTGAGCCATCTGCGTCCTTCAGTCGAAGGGATGACGCTCTGGCAGTGTATTGGCACGTGTTTGGCTAAGACAAAGAGTTGTGTTATTGTAGCAGACTGAAAGCGAAGGTCTGGCTTGGATGGTGTTCCTAAACCTGGCATCCGTACCGCACGTTTAGGTAGCTAAATCTGTCACTCACATGCTTTAGATACTTGTGTTAATTGCATAAATGTCAACAGAAAATGGCATGTTTTTAAAGTGTTACAAGTGTAAATAGCTGCTCTTCTGAAATGGCCCCAGTATATATTTTTAGCTTCTACAATCTCTTCTGAATATGCTACTTGCAAATGTATCGTATTTCTTGTAGTATCTAGCTATAGTAACGTATTAGTAGCTGTAATACTCCTGATCCTCCTGCATAAAGCACTGTAGAATATACTTTAAATACTGGCTTTTTGTATGTCTCACACAAGTATTCATTAATACCAAGGGAACAGCATGCTACTGTTCCAGGTTTTCTAAGAACCAGTGCTATCGCCCTTCACCAGCTCCTGTTGCCAGCTTCACAATGCCTTTATTATTTATAATTTTACTCTTGAAAACTCAAATCTGGAACTGAAAATTTTCATGCTTTTGTTTTTTAAAAAATAATTAAAGCAGGCAAATGGACCTGATGTAATCTGCATAGCGTGTGCCATGGCTGTGAAAGCGCTGCTTGTTCTCTGAAAGGAGGAATTCTTCCAGCCAGCGTCCCTTGCCCCCTCCTCTGCGCGGCCGCCTTTCCCATACAGTCAGGACTCACTGCCAGTCACTGGTGTGCCCTTTAAGTCTGCTGGAGCAATGGTGTCATTCACTGGATGTCTGTGCAGAGCCTCGCAGGTTTCCTGCAAAGTGCAACCTGAAGTTTCACGTTTTGCTGTTCTGCTGGGGCAGTGGTTGCTCTGCTGAAGTTCTGTCCTGTGTCCGGAGCGGTGCCTGGCCTGCCATTGATCAGTCCTCACACAGCAGCTTTCGGAGGCCTCTTCCTCCTCTGCCACTCACATAGCAAGTGGCATGTTTTCAGGTATGTCCCACCACAAAGGACTGGAATGTTGGCCTAGCATGTTTTACCAGTGTTTGAATGGGCTAAAGAAAGTTTTTGGAAAGCTGCAGATGCCTTTGGAGAGGAGGGAAAGAGAAAAAAAAATAGAATTGATGGGGATGGTAAGAGGTCAGCAGGCCCAAGACAACAGAAAAAAAGTGCAACTCAGAAGTCGGTGCCAACAAGCAGCCCTGTAATCCCTGCCTAGGCAGATAACCAAGCTCCTCCCAATCCCTCTGCTGTTACGCCCTGCCTCCTCCTCTCTCTGCCTTAGCCGTTCTGTACAAGAACTGTAAATTGTTGTCCAGATCATTCAGACAAAATACCCTTCCTAAACCTGCCTTCTTCAGGCACGCAGAATAGGTATTGTCTCAGGAGGATTAGCAGACCAGGTACTACAGAACGCAATGTCGGGTGCTCCAGGCAAGCACTTTGCGTGGGCAGGTGCTGACACTGAGCGAGCAGCCCGTCTGCTGGGCATTGGACACCCCCAGAGCACAGGAAAACAACTGGATCGCTCCTGTTACAGGAATAATGGAGCTGGTAGCAAAATGAAGATGCCAAGTGAAATTGCCAAATATATGGAGATACTGAAAAATCCATGGGTGTCTTCAGTGGGCCTCTGCCCCAGTGTCGACCCATTTGGATGTGCTTCTTCTTTGTGGGAAGGTATTGGGGACAGCATGTGGAAAATACCGAATACACAAGAACCTGGGAAGATTCATCGATTTGGAAAGGGGATGCAATTCTAAAATACTTTATTGCGATTTACAAAGGGACAGAAATGTGAGAAAATCCATAAAGAATTAACTAGGAATCAGCAGTGTTTGTCTTGACAGTAAAGGAAGAAGGACGAAAAAAAACAGCTTACTACAAAATGGATTTGACTAAGAGCGAAAAATGTAATGAGGAAGAATGCACTTTGGATAAATCTGCGTTCTGTTAAGGTAAATGAAAAAGCAAGTGCCAGTAAGAGGGAAAAAAACAAGGCTTCTTCCTGCATGGTCACTGCTGGTGCACATTTGCATGAGGCAAGTGCACATTTGCATGAGACAAGCACAAGGACTGCAGACTTCCTGAGTGTCAGAACAGCATCAGCATCTTAGATGGGCAAAGAAGATGTAGGATTTACTGTCAACTTTCATGAAACACTAAGGGTCTATTTGGCCAGCTGGTAGGGGAGAATGAAAAACAAAAAATCAGTGAAGTGAGGTTCCTTGTGCGTCTCTTGTAGTCCTTGCTAGCAATTCTCAGAGTCTTAAGCTAAATGAGACAGAGAACGTGAAAAAGGCAGGAAGCCTGCATGAGCAATACAGGATTACTGAAAAGCAAATTGAGATGTTGCAAAATGCATTTGATGCAGTTCACAGCTCTCAGTGAGAATGACCAAGGAAGATCCTTCTCCTGAGCACTGGCCTCCTACCCCAGTTCCATGTTGTAGCAAACCAGAGAGGGTGTGCACGCAGCCACAGAAAAGGCCTGCTACCAGTGCAAAGATGCAAGTTGTATTCACCAGGTAGTAATGCAACCAGTTTCTTGCAAGTGTAAGTTCTGCTGGAAGTTGAATTTTAACTTAAGTTGAAATGTTACACTGCAGGAGTTTTTGCTGTATTAGAGTAGATCAGTAGAAATTAAAAATTTTGGCAAAGTGCTTTGCAAAGAGAAAGTTTTGTAAAAGAAACTATGAGAATTGGTATTACCTGATTCTTGCTGGAAGAGTAATATTCCTGCTGGTAGACTAAGAAAATATTTAACTGTTCACAATAAATCTGTTTAAGGTGAACTATCGCCAATAGGTTTCTGCAATCATGTCTTGCAGAAAGCTGAAAATGGAAGAAGTTCCAGAAATAGACTGAAACTCATCTAAGAGCTAATGTTGATGGAGAGACTGATAAGCATTTAAATGACTCAGGTGCCTCCCATATGTACATTTTTTTCTGTCCTGAGAGGAAAATGTTTCATCATAAGGTAATTCACAGATATTTGAAAATAAGTTACTGTTTGCAAAAGCAAGATGGTCTTTGTAGATGTTTTGAAAGCTTATAGAGAGGTATCTGAAAACGGGAATTCTTCAGCTGTATAAATTGCGGGCTTCGTATATGGTTTATGTCCACCAACATAAGAGACAAGAAAGAGACGTCTCACCTGGAAGCAAGCGCTATGGTACAAAGTTACAGCAGGACTTCAATGATTATGTATTTTTGCAAACATACACACCTTTTTTTTTTAACAAAAAAGATTTTTTTTTAAAAAAAAAAAAACAACCTACAGTAATTTTTTGCTTAACTTTTATTTCTTTTTTTAACTATTTTAGAGTAAGTGGCAAGCATGTGTATAACATGGGGAAAAAAAAAAAGAAAAAAAAAAGGAAATCACTTGAAACAACGTACATGCTGAAGATGGTGGTACGTCAACCTGGGGAAGTGCCCCAGTAAAATGTTGATTTTTTTATATAAACCACATAAGGAACCTGCTAGCTTCTATAAGCAAAATTCTGAATAAGCAGATATGCAAGAAATTTAGCATGAGAGGATAAAGGGCTAGTTTTATCACTGCGTGCCATTTACCCCTACTACAGTCAAATGCTTCAGATTACAGGAAAGGGAAATAGGGCAGCCAACTGTCACAACTAACAGAGGAATGTCAGCACTTACTGGATGTTTACTTACAAATGTCTGCATTGAAATTCAGTACAGAAATACTAATATAATAGGCCTATGTCACCTTGAGTGTGGAAGTAACAATGCATGAAAGTGTCCCAGTGCAGAATAAGCCCATGGCCTGCTCACTGGCCCCAGCAGAAAGCAGGCAGGACAGGAGCTTTTCTCCTGCTGCAGTGAGGACTGGAAAGTTCTGGGGCAGCAGCTCCTCAGTGAGACACACCAGGGTGAGAACAGAGGAGAAATATTAAGGGAAATCAGGTAAAGCAAGTGTTTCCCATGGATAATACACGCATCAATTATTCCCAGGCAGATGTACCCATCGAGGTTACCCTCAATAGTTCATTCCATTGCCTACATCCACATCCATCTCATAGGACCAAGTTCGTTAACAGAGAATGAAGGCTAAAATGATATCATTCATCTCTATGTTCTTGTCCTGACATGGTTATTCATTAGGAGTTCTTCCTAATGACTGTTCAGTTCCTTCCTTCTAGGGAGCCACTCCTAATTCTCTTCTATTCAGGTTGGATAATGAGTCACTGACTTTAATATTAATCTTTATTAACCCTTCCCTTTCACAACCCACAGAGTGCAATGTGTTGTGTCTCAGGGCCGAGAAAGAAAGCTCCTCAACGCCTTTTCCTCTGTTGTGCTATTTTCTTAACGTGCAGAGAATGCACTGTCTCCTGCAGGCTTTCTGCTGCTGGTTGTTGAAAAAAACACCTTGTTTGTCTTCACGCCTCCACTTAGTTGCTTTTTAGATCTTAGTCTACCTGTATTCCAGTGTAATTTTGTTTTCCATAAATTACACTTCCTTTGCCTTCTTGTCTGGCCAATTTTTATTTACCAAATCCAGTTGTGTGCGTCAAATAACTTTTTCAAGCACTTTCCCGTTCTATTTTACCTCCCTTTTCTCTTTCCTATTGTGGAGGGAGGGTCGTGGCTGCCTGTGAGACTGGTAGTGCTCAGTAACGCTTAGTCCAACTAACTCATGGGAAGTGTCATAATGGTAACAGCTGCTTTTCCAGTTTCAGATGCTTTGAAACAATTTCATTTTTTTTAAAAAA